AAAATAAAAAACTGTAAATCATACAGTTGCCTCTTTTTTTTTTTTTGATGGGTGAAAATGTTATGGTAACCCCGCCTGCGCTAACGGGATACGCTGGCGGAGCACCAGTGAAGGGTGATAGATGAGAATGAAAGCAGGCCAGTTAGCCCATCATGATGAATTCATCAGGAATTAACCGTGATAGTTTCCAGGGAGAACTGCGAGGAAGTCGACCTGGTTGGGTATATTGCTAGCAATGGAATTCTCAGTCTCCATTACTAACAATCCCTTTCCCCCCTACAGTTGCCTCTTGTCTTCTTATGCAAATATAATTAGTAAAAAGAGGACGAAAGATACACCCTCAGTTGCTTTTTTTCTCGATTCATAGAAGGCTTAGTGTAAAGAAAATTTGTATGTAAAATTTTGGGTCATTTACATTACTAGATTATATATTCAACACAATTTATGTAGAAAGTAAGCAAGCAGGTTGTATCTGAATTGGTAGGGTTATACGGCCGTATAATCCTACCAAATTCAGATACAACCCTTCCATCTTTCCTTGTTCTTAGTTCGAATTTGAAGATATCTATTAATAAAAAAAAAGTTTTCTTATTTTCCTAATCACAGGCCTTAACATATATAATGCTATTCTTTAAAGTCAGTCAAACTTAAATTTCGCCGGTGTTTTCTCAGGTGAATAATAAGATCGAATTTCAATAATTGTAACAGATATTTCGACTTAAAGGCAAGCGTACTACTGTAGCATACATATAAAATTATATATTTTATTAATTTTTGTAAAAAAAAACACGCAGCAAGCGTAAATATTTTATATATATAAGTAATACGGTCGGTCGTGCACGCAGCTTGTTTGTTGTACCTATGCGCGCGCAGGACGCGCAGGCGCTCGGCGACTACGGGTTGCGCGCGCAGGCCGCGCATGCGTATATGCAAAGAATTTTGTTGTTGGCGCCACGGCACATACATATCGTCTCAATATTATACCTTTTTTATATTTTCTATTGTTCTCCTTCTGTACTTGTATTTATACTTTTAAGAATTATTGTATTAATAAATATTTATATTATACATTCTACAAATATTATTCCCTTAATACCATCGCTTTACTACTGTTTTTAAGATTTTCACTTAAACTTTTCCAAACACATTTCACTTGTCATTATCAAAGCTACAGAATAATGCTATGGAATGTGAAAATTAGTTGAAGTGATTTTTTTTTTTTTTATACAACTTAGAATGGCAAACAAGCTGACGGCCCACCTGATGGAAAGTGATAACCGTCGCCTATAGACAAGAGCAGTACCATGCACATAACAGAGTATACTGTTTTGCCCATGATACACCCCATGCGTTGCCATTCTTGAGGACTCAGGTGTTATTCCTCTGTACCCTGTAAATGCACGCCATATCTCACCCTTCAAACCGAAACATAGCCATGCAAACAGCTGCTTTACGGTTGAAACACGGTTGAGACAGAGGTACTCAAGCAAACGACTTTTGTACAAAGTCTCCCTCTGGAAATGAAAATGAAGCGAGTTGTGAAATGAAATATGAAATTTTACAGAATAGCATTGCCAGTTAGCTAAATCAAAATGAGTCGAAACTCGAAATTGCTAAATTTTATTGCGCGCCAATGGTAACCACATGTCGTGCCAGACGCTAACGCTAGGGTTGGCCAATAGAAATGACAAGTAACATTTTGCTTCGCACAAAACGACGAGTGTCAAAATAAAAAAAGTTCTAGTATCTTGCCATCTTGCTAATCCATTCGTAGATGTAATCAGTGTTGCGATTTGTATTAAATATTTTTTTTTTTAATATATTATTTTTGTGTACGATTTGTAAATAATATCATAAAATTAGTGTATTTATGCGTCTATTTGTATAACCAATGTTTGAACGAGTGCCACGGATAATTTGTAATAATAACTTGTCTATGGAATTAACTAATGAAATTATTTTTGGAAGCAGGTAAATCTTTCTTTAGTAGTCTTTATTTATTTATTGGTAACATTTGAACTATTGCTTGGTAGTTTTTTATTTTCTTTCTTTTTATAAATACGAAGTTTGTGAGTCATTTTATGCTTTCATTTTTTTTTTTGTTCTAAACTTAACCTTATATTTTAAAAAAAAGCTACAGCGTTTTTTCTTACTCGTTTTTCTCAGCTTTAATTGCATTCCGAATAAGGCGTAGTTTCTTAAAAAAAAAATTCTTAATATGTAATTTATTTGGATAATAATTATTGTTATCGAAATAGTACGTATATATATACGGATTTTTTTTTTCAGATTAAATTATCTTTTATATAAATTTAAACAAAATCAGCAGCTCCGATTAAATTAATAACAACAAGTTACATATAATGTTGAACGAATACAGAACACAGTATAAAGTTACAGTGTTGACATCCCTATTTCCTATTACGGTTATGATTGATAATATTTTAGTTAAAGAATATTTCGCCATAGTGTTATCAACTTCAGCTAGATAAGATATCTAGCACATATCACAATACGTAGCTGTATTGTGAAGCGAAACCTTGAATGCTATATCGATATAGCGTAATATTAGTGTTGCTTAGTGGAGAAAATAAATTTCTCCAATGATATTTACTGCTTTATTTATTTATTTATAAATTACTCACCACACTTACAGTCTTCCAAAACGTGTAGTGAGTCATAGGTTTAATTTACAAACTTAAAACTTTTACACAACATTTTAAAAATATATCTATTTTGTCATTAAATATGTCAATATCTGGTTGCTGAGCAATCAGAGAATTCCCACTGATTCGAAACTCAAAAATTTCAATGTTTGTAATGACATCTGTAACATGTAATTGTTCAATTCGAACGTAATGTTGTGTTACATGTTACAATGCGAACATTCGTCGGTATTGCTAAGTGCAGCGAGCCGAGCCGCTCGCGTAGTCAAACCATTTCGTCATAGTCGTAGAATACTGACGGATCTGACGAAGATTACATATAAAGATCCGTCAGTATTCTACGACTATGACGATTTTTTTATGTGTTACTTATATTGGTACTGCGATAAATAGGAATAAATTTACAAGTGTAGCGCGAATTTAATAGCTTCGTTTACTTAGTTTTTAACAGTAGTTTTTAACAGTAATAAACTAATTGCATATAGGTATGATATTAAGAGAGATTTAAAAGAGTAACTGCTGAGTTTCTTGCTCTCTCAACAGATAACTTTTCGAATCCTGTAGTGGATTAAAAAAAATGAGGATTTAAAAGTGCTTGTAAATAAGTCTGTTTAAATAAAGGTGATTTGAATTTTGAATTTTATGGGTTGCGATAAACAATTAAAAAAAAATATTGTTTTTTTTTTTTGTTTTAGTGATGTTTTCAGTGATATAATAACGCAAACTATATTCCAGTGGCGTAACTATACTATTTAGGGCCTGTGGCAAATTCTTTGATGAGGCCCTATCAGTAAAAAAAAAAAGTATTCAACTAAAATAAAATACTCGGGTAATAATGTAAAAAAAATTATATATATTTCTGAGCTCGCGGCCTCTTAAGCCGGGGCCCTTTTGGATCGGGGACCCGTGGCATTTTGCCAGCCCTGCCACCCTATTGTTTACGCCACTGCTATATTCTCTACTCATTAAGCCAAAATCTGTGTTTATTTTTGTTTTATTTTATTCTAATTCTCAGAAATACCTGTCTACATTAGGCAGTGTAGATAGGTATTTATACAGAGGAAAATAATACGTATATAGGTACACAACAGTTAAAATCAAGTGTTAATATATGAGGTGTACTGTACAGTGAATCAGCCGAAACAGCGTAGTGGGAACACGATATTATTCTTTATTGTCATTCTCTTGTCACAGACTATATGACCTTTATACCGATAAAATGTCCTCTATATATGCAGTGACATTTGATAAGAAATGAAAATTAACATATATTGTTTACCATTTTTTTTTTTATATTAAAATGGATGTGTATATTTGAGCTTCAAAGAGACTACGTTTGACCACATGGCGTTGTAGGACTAAATTTTTATACTTTTTTATCTTATTTTTTATTAATATAATAAAATTGTAACTAACCGATGTCTGTATATGGGAGAAGTTTAAGAAAAAATAATACTAAGAGTCGATAAGGGCGATAGAAGACAAAACAATATTTTTTTGAAAATTTGTCTGTCTGTTGGTGTGTAAGGTTTTGATATTTTCACAGGTTTTCACAGTTGTGCATCTGAAAGTTTTACTTAAAATCTAGTGTGTGCTTTATCATGATATGTCATCTAATGGTGGTCTATGGTATATCATATATGGTGATGGTATATCATTGACTTTGGCTACTACTGCAGTCCACGTGTACAAAGTAGCAGGCAAAAAACTTAACAATCTTACAGACAAAATACAAATTAATCATTTGCAGTGGCACTTGCAATGAATATTTACACTTTTGTATAAAAAATATAGGTATTTTTAATTATGTATTTTTAAAAACTTAAGTTTTAAAATTTATTTTTTTAATTGGAAATTATATATATATATAATGAATAATTCTTATTTAACGGTTCTTTTGAACCTTTAAAAAAATGAACGTATACCGTTGTCAGATGGACATTTGAATTTTTAATAGTAATACAATAAATATAATAATTTGTCTAGAACGTTATAGATTGTCAGATCTATTAAGTTTAGAAAACAAAAATTTGGTGCATGGGTTTATTTTATATCGCATTTTCAAGCATTCGCTAAGAAAGGAATGTTGAAAATTTCAATTTCCATTGGAAACGCGCGTGTAAAGCCGCGGGCAACAGCTAGTGAATATATATAAAAATATACCAGTTGATGTGTGTTTATCAAGCATTAATGCTCTATATTGGTAACATTGTCAGATTAATGTGAGGGGCAGACACTGACTGGAGGTCATGGACTGAAGATCGAACCCCGTCGACAATGATGGATGACCACACCCAGGGTTTACAATATTTTAGTTATAAGAATGGTAGTTATAAGTTTATTTTAAGTGGTGTAAACATATAGATCTACACAAATAATTTTTTTTTTAAATACATTTTAAACTTTATGATATTCGATTATGCATTATACTGCGGCACGTCTGTTCTCGTGCATCGCTCCCGCGATACTGACGTTTCTGACCAGTGTAACCCTTATTAAAACGCAAATAAAATCTACCTATTTTAGTATTGAAAAATAGAATGGAAGTAAACTATAATAGTAAGGTATTGAGTGGTCATTTTGGGAAACTTTTGAAGTTTGTTAAAATTCAAAGATAAGTAGGTCTCTAGTAATTATGTTGTTAATTTTTGTCGTTCCAAACTTGTTGTTTAATAATGTATTTATGTACGCAAATAGATACGAGTCACCGCTGACGTAGGTGCAACTTGAAAAATATTTGCATTTCAAATATGAAATATAAAGTCATTTAAGATTATTCAGGGATCGTTAAAGAGTAATATATTTCTCTTAATTTTATATTTGTATGTAACGTAATTTCGTATATTTTTTATTACTTTAATTGCATTCAGACCAGTTATTGTCTATGTTCGTTAAAGTTTTTTTTTTTTTTTTTTTCATATATGGTACAATTCAAGGTTAAAATTCTTTATTATAACATAAAACAGGCTGTGGTATAATTAAAATTAGCACATATTTTGTTCTATAATCGTACTGTATTATAAAATAATTAATAGACGACTGCTTATATAAATAAATAATTATTTTATTACCGACTCGCCGACGAACGATTCTATTTGTCAGTTAGACGTTGTTGAGATTTGTTATTGACAGAAACGGTTATTAAAAAATATTATTACGTCTATTTTATATAAAGATAAGCAACGAGTGACGGAAAGTTGACGGAATGAACTATAAACATAGATACAGAGATAAAAAAAAAACCTACAATAATGTAATACACTAAAAAAATATTTTCTTCCTTCCGGATTCCTATTTTAAATACAGATATAGATGCACAAATAGAACTTATGATATTATAAAAAAAAAAACAAAATGTATGGTTTTTATCCGAATATTGTAAAATAAATCGATTAATAATCGATACCCAAGTATTGTGGTGGCAATACTATTTGCGCTATTGTACTTAGGTGTCGCTGACGTGCTCAGACTTGCTTTTGTTCAATGTGAAAATAGTTACACCAGATACCAATTTTTAAATTTACCTAAATACTTAAAAAACTTTTTCTCCAATTTGATACGATGTGACAAAATCACTTTTTTTTTTCAATCACAAACTTGTTTCGGTTTTTACTGCGTGTTCCCTCATCACGCGAGACGTACATATACTTGTATATGGTTTACTAACAGTAAAACTGTTAAAAAGTATTCAAATTTCTCCACGTACATTTGCTTTTACACTAAAAATGTCTCTAACAATATTAGTTCTATAAACTATCGCAAAATCAGAATAGATAATTTTTACTCAAAATTGCGGTAAAAAAATTTTGCCGGCTGGCAACACCAGATGTGAATAATAAATGGTCCTTCACAAGTATATTTATCACTACTATATTGTACAGAGTTCTTCGAATTTTAACATAACGTAGACATATTCGTAAACTAGTCTATCGACTTTAATAAATATGACCTCAAGTTTGATTTGTAACTACGGTGATGATAAAATACTTAACGAGTGTGAGTGTATATATTAAATTTTGTATTTTAATCAAAAAAAGGTAGGTAGGTACTTTAGAAATAATAGGGAAATTATGAGATAAGGATGGCGGGAAATGAAGCTTGACACTCTGTATTGTATTAGCAATTTTTTTGTCAATTACTGGACAAGGGTTTTGCCAGTAGTTGCCACGCTTGGCAGGCGGGTTGGCTAGTGCACTTATTCTTTGGTATTGTTTTATAAGGGATGCTGCTGCCCATCCCAGAACTATTAAATTACTTTAGTCGCCTCTTACGACATCCACATGACTCTAAGGGATTGGCGATTATGAATTATTATTTATAGAGGATTGTTCCATATTTTTTTTTTTAAATTAATTATTTAATTATTAAAATACTTATTACAAATGCCTACTAAAAATCTGGATTCCATACCATACAGTGCCCTCTAGTATAGAGCTATAGGTACTAAGTACTATATTAAATTTAAATTTATTTAAATTAAATTAAATTTGTTTAAATATAAGGTAAATTTAATTTCATTTATTGGGTGTGAAAAATGGTAATAACCCGCCCTCGTTAGAGTAAGTAACATTTGCTTACCAAACTGTGGCAAAGTATTTTCAATATTTCAAGTAGATTACTTAAAAAGTGCTCTGCTAACGAACTAGGACTTTTTGGAACAACAAATAGAGTGGTTTTTACGCCGACAACAAAAATGGATCAGATAGGAAGTAAAACGTTTACCGGGTCGACTAGTTATATATATATATAACTACTAACAACAAAGTCATATAGTTGATAGTTTTTTTTTTTTTAATGGACTATAATGGAATAATAACCCCGCCTGCGCTATCGGTATACACTGGCGGGGCATCAGTGAGGAATGATAGGTGAGGATGAAAGCAGGTCACTTTGCCCATAGTGATGGATTCATAAAAAAATAATCAAGATGATTTCCAGGGGGAATCGTATGGGGAACGACCTGATAAGGTATATTGTTAGCAATGGGGCCTATAGTCCCATTTCTAACAATCCTTTTCCGCCCTTAATTTGTGTGTAACCGTTATAAGGGTCATATTTACGAGAATATTAATTGAAGAAAGACGGATGTTTCTACCTACTTAAGCAGTTGGCCCACTTATCTGATATGTATTTGCCGAATTCATAGCCGATAAACTTTTAATACATTATTGTTCTAATTTAATATTATGACATAAATAAATTAAATTAGTTTCATGTATAGTTTTTTTTATTTACTTACTCGAGTAACTAAATAACATATAAATATTACTATACTTACGCTTATTATAAAACTTCAAACTGGTTAGCTATTGCAGTGTATTTGTCTTATTCTGATATCTCAATTTAAAAAAAAAAAAAAAACTATATTTAAAATAGGTATAAACACATTAGAAAATGGTTATTGTATATCAATACGTGAAGCAAAAAGTGTACCACCCATTTTTAGGAAAATTACGCGGACGGAATGAAATTTGGCACACTTATATGGTAGTTTATATAAAGATGTTTTTTTAATTGTGCGTAAAAAAACATTAAATAAATAAAAAAATAAAAATTACACACACCACCATGTGTTTGACACGCACACGCATATATACCTTTTTGTTTATTGTTAAAGTCTGTGGTCAAATTGAGAATAGATTAATATTGTTTGTCTTTAACATTATTTGTCTATGGTCTTACTGAATGTCAAACGTAACCATAATAAATTGATTTATTATATGTTATGGTCGAATTTGGACCACGGGCCGACCACTTATTAATTAATTAATTGTGTAATTTGTGTAGGTAATTGTGTTAAAAAATTATGTAGCGTCATGTATGGTAAATAAACGAGCGATGTTATCTAGTTAATAAGTGACACTTGATGTTACAATTGTAATAAATATGAATTTGTCGTTTTTAGATATATAATGTTGACACAATGTCATGTTAAATATATAATTTATTCGATAATTCTGTTTCAGTTTTATGTTGCTTTTTTTTATATTTTATATAAATTAAAAAATATACCTAAACTTGTGTGTGTGTGCGTAACCTTTAGGTATATTTTTTATATTTTTTTTTTCTCAAAATTGAGAAAAGATAGGAAAAATAATGGAAAAGTGATTTAATGAAATTTGTATAAGTATTTTTACTAGAAAACATACTTTAAACAATATATAAAAGAAACAAAGGGCTTTAAAATAATCTCGAATAAGTAAAAAAAAGATACTTGAAAATATGTTATCTAATCTTTACATAGTGTTGACTCTGAGGTGTTATTACTCTATACGTATCTCCAGAAATTTCAATTTGATATGACAGCATAATCTTTATTGTAAGGGTGAATATGAATTAATTTTATAATTATTATAATTTTACATTATGATCGTCCATAGAAAAGCTTTGCGAAATTATTAAATTAAAATATTAGATTAACGGATACGTTTAGACAACTGACACCTTGGAATCGACTCCACTGTTACAAAAACATGTTATAAGTATATTATACTGTATTATTAGTGGGAAAAAAAAAATAAAAAAAATCTAACATTAACTAACAAACAAAAAAAAAACTATATATATTATTAAGAAAAAGCAAGAAAAAATATCATAGTCAATATCGAATTAAAAGAAAAAAGTTTTGGTTAAAAAAAAAAGATAAAAAAAAATCACACATAATAATAAAAATTACAAAAGCAAAAAAGACTGAACATAAAAAAAATAGAAAATATAATAAACATAAAAAAAAAATATGAGATAAAATATCTGATATAAATGAGAAAAAAAGTTGAGAAATTTCACATGGCGTCGTCAACCATGGGTTAGCCGTTGAGGATTATATTTGAACATAGTGTGGTGTTTGTAGATTTTGTTGCGGACACAAGTGATACGGAGATGTTTGGAAGCGATGAAAGTAATCTGGAGTACGAGCCCGTCACAGAGCCGGAGGACGATAGGCCTGCTTTCGACGACACTTCAGGGGACAGCGAGGTACGTCACGCATCTTGTACTTTACTCATATGGCACTCAGAATGGCAAACAAGATCCAGCTGATGGAAAGTGACAACCGTCAACAGACACTAATGCCTGTAGTATCTCTCGGAGGAGAGCAGGTTTTGATCGTGTTTGAAATTAAGTTTGGAATAATTATTGCACTTGTATGTTACATATAAAATAACGTATTGTGTTATGAGCAAGGGTGGACTTATCTCTGACAGAGATCTCTTCCAGTCAAGCCGATACAGTGAGAAAGCATTTCGTTAGCGGGCAGCTGGAGTACTACAACTATTAATACATAAACAAATATACAGTTAAATAAAATATTAAAAAATTCTATGTGCAAATGTGGTGCATATTTTTATCTGTATCATAAGTTTATGCGGCATTTTAACTTTTTAATAATAGTTAATTACCGATTCGAGTTTTGTTCCGTTGTTTCGTAAAATATGTTTTTGTATTTGATTGAATATTTTTTTCTAAAATCATTTATCGTAATTATGATTTTTGTATTTAATAAAGATCCAATAAAATTTCGTCTTAATTCTAAATATTCGTTTAAAATGAATACAGTAACGGAGCTTCTAGCCTTTGCAATAAATACAATTTGTATTCTAAAAGAGCCAAGTAGGTTTGAATAAGAAAAATAGAAACGTTCTTGAATATAGTCGAAATTCTAAGAATGGTATAGTGTAGTTTTTTTTTTGATGGGTGAAAATGGTATGGTAACCCCGCCTGCGCTAACGGTGATAGATGAGAATGAAAACAGGCCAGTTAGCCCATCATGATGAATTCATCAGGAATTAACCACGATAGTTTCCAGGGGGAACCGCGAGGAGTTCGACCTGGTTAGATATATTGCTAGCAATGGGATTCTCAGTCTCCATCACTAACAATCCCTTTCCCCCCTATAGTGTAGTATTTGTATACATTATAATTGGATACATTAAAAGATTTAATATACAATGGCGGAATTATCCCATAAAGGGAACTCTTGGTAGTTGGGTAGATGAATTAATTTTTTCCAACAGACTACAGAATTCTTTAAAAAAGGGGTAAAGAGGTTTCTTCAGGGTATTGCAGGCGTTCATAGGCTACGGTAACCACTTACCATCAGGTGGGCCGTAAACTTGTTTGCCACTTCAATGGTATAAAAAAACATTTATACATAGTTATAAGGTTTGGTGATATATATATATATATATATATATATATATATATATATATATATATATATATATATATATATATATATATATATGATATAAAAACGAAAGAATGCTCTCAGAATGTTTACACGAAATAAAAATTGGAGGAGCTGCTTCAAAACGGGTATTCACTTGCTTTGTTTAAATCCACCATCAGCAAAACCTGTGTAACCCCATATAAGTTTGGAAATCTTATATGGGGGTGTATCAACAATTAAATCACTTCGCTGAAATAATCGTATGTGTCATCGTAACCGTTGATCAAATATTATATTTAGATTATGAGTAAAAATAAAAAAGAACATCGCAAACAAGTACATATGTTATTATAAAAAAAAGCTGACGTCAATTGTGGTAAAAATAGGTAATTTGATTTAAAATCTAAACTAGTGAATCGATCTTGATAAAATTTCTATGGAACTAATTTGTATGTTATTGCCTTTCAGAGAAAAATAAATATCAAATCTGTTTATGAAATAATGTTAAAAAAAATACAACCGAGTTTTCACTCTTTCTTTTTCAACTTTATTGGCTACAGTGACCGTTTACTGTCAGACGGGCTATAAGCTTGTTTGTCACCTTTTTTTTTATACAACTTAGAATGGCAAACAAGCTGACGGCCCACCTGATGGAAAGAGGTAATCGTCGCCTATAGACATGAGCAGTACCATGGACATAACAGAGTATACTGTTTCGTCCATGATACCCCCCATGCGTTGCCATTCCTGAGGACTCAGGTGTTATTCCTCTGTACCCTTTGTGGTATAAAAAAAAGTCGGTCGAAAAAACTATTTTAATGGAGAAAGCACCGTTTTATTACATTATAAATATTACCAGTGGGAGACTTTGTATAAAAGTCGTTTGCTTGGGTATCTCTGTCTCATACGTGTTCCTACCATGAAGCAGTTGTTTCCATGGCTGTATTTCGGTTTGAAGGCTGGGATATGGTAGTTAATTTACAGGGTACAGAGGAATAACACCTGAGTTCAGGGGGAAAAGGAATTGTTAGTAATGGAAACTGAGAATCCCAGCCATGTAAACACAACTGCTTCACGGTCGAAACACGAATGGGACAGAGGTACCCAAGCAATCGACTTTTGTACAAAGTCTCCCTCTGGTAATATATATTATCTTTGATAATAATGATGCAAACCATACTATTATATCAATTGCCTGGTCTTCGAGCTTAACGGGTGGTAATGGAAATGGTAACCCCCCATCCCAACCGCCTGCTATCGGTATATACTGTCGGGGCACCAGCGAACGGTGATAATTAAGAATGAAAAGGCATCTCAGTTAGCTCATCGTGAGGAATTCCACTAGAATTAACCATGTTTCTAGATCGCGTGGAGGTCGACCTGATAGGGTGGTATTTCTAGCAACGGGTCATTTAAACCCCATTACTACCAATCTCTTTCCCCCCTGTCATTCATGCTAGGATATGATATATTCTAGCGATCTGTCGCACTTTTCATATATCGTTGGTAAAAAAAAGACTAATTATGTAATTATAAAATTGCAGGACGAAATTATAAAAACAAATAGAATCACGGTGACAATGGGCGATGACGGCGAGCTGGAGTTTGCGGACTCGGAGCAGACCAGCTCCAACGAGTCGGACAGCGAGATCGACCTGCTCGGCTACGACAGGTGCGCCCGCTGCCACTCCTCCGAGCACAACACTTTCTACAGATACTGCCATGACTGTTTCAAGGTGTGTTCTCTATTTTATTTATTTGTCCCAATGGCGTAACAATAGGGTGGCAAGGCTGCCAAAAGGGCCCCGGCTCAAGAGGCCGCGAGCTCAGATTTTTTTTTTACATTGTACCTGAGTATTTTATTTTTACTGATAGGGCCCCATCAGTGTGGGAATTTGCCACAGGCCCCAAATGGTATAGTTGCGCCACTGATTTCTCCCCAATAATATTTTAGATATTTTATAATAAAAGCCTGTATATTGGTAAATATTAAGTTTTACCAGTAATTCTTAGCATTTACCAACATGTGTTGGTAAATGTAAGGATTGTTTTTTTAAAAAAAAGAACATTTTTGAGGCTTCCGCGAAATCAAAGCTATACGAACACTACACATTAAATATGTTTTAATATTATAATAAATGTGAACAATTGTAATTAATTTTAAATTTTGTTACTGGCAATCACTAATATTTAGTAAAAAAATTCCATCGTTCATTATTGTGTCTGTTACTATAAATTCAATTATGGTAAATCTTAAACTTTCTATATTTACATCAGAGACGTGGTAAACGTAAAAAAAAAATAGACATAAAATTAAGACATGTTTAATGCTTGGTGACATAGGTGGTAGGTTTTACAACGGTTACCACTTTCCATCAGGTGGGCCGTCAGCTTGTTTGCCATTCTAAGTCGCATAAAACAAATAATAATAATATACTAACAAATAGCATTATTATTACACATATATTTTTACAACAATGTCGAGCCCACACTATGATCAAAGTGTCAAACAGATAATGCGTAATAACTTATATTGAATTTCTAATTAATATTTTCGTTTAAATTCTATATTTTATAATATTTATTGATACGAGTAATACAATTTAAAAATTATTGACAATTGGGTTGTTGGCGTAAACGAAACATAGATGGCGCTGTCCATACATTTTATATCGCAATCGGTGAGCGATAATTTGTTATTGCGTTTTTATCGTCTAAATAATATTAATTTATTTATTAGTACAAAATAATAATTATTTTTAATATGAATGGTGGATCTGGGTAAAATTTATATTTTGAGACATTTTTACAGTGTTGTGTTGTGTTGTAAGTGTTAAATTATTAAATATTTATATTAATAATTAATTATATTTATGTATATTAACATGCTATTTGTACTATTATTTCATAGAATAGTCAATTTGTTGTAACATATATTAATAACATATAGTTGTCGTTCTTGTGAGTTTGTGTTATATTCAATGTGAAAATATTAGCCAGTAATACTTTGTATTTCACATAGTACACACTAATTTGATATGTGGAGAAGAAGAAGAAGTACTGGTAGATATTTTGACATTAACCCTTCTTTGCATAATAGTCGTCCATCATAACGTTGAATGCCCAAAAATTATATAAAAGAACAAGTTCACTTTAAGTTGATCGTGTCTGGATAACTTTATAATGTCCATTGTAGAAAAAAAAACCATAGCTGTCAAATTTAGTTTTTTACCATTTTTCCTTTAATTTTGAACATGAATTATATCACCTTGATTTATTTTAACAATAAAAAAAAACCATGCTAAGAAGGGTTAAAATAATATTCATTAGATGGTACTCATTTGTGTACGTACTTCTGTCTCATCAATCTCTACCGTCAAGCAGCTATATTTTGCATAGCTGTTTTCTGCTTTTAAGATTATGAGAGACATGGGTGTGAAGTTACTGAGCTGTGCCTCATGATCTTCATACGACAAGGTATTACAATTTATTTAAATGCATCCACAGACTGTGGTATGCGAACATTAAGCCCATTTGCTGTTTTCGTTTTCCAAGTATTGATGTGTTTTTAATAACGGTTTAATCTACACGTGCGGTTCCACGAGTGAAGAAATTAATAGAAGCGTTGAAATTTCTCGAACATTATATCTAAATGAAGAGCCCAACTGATTTATTGAACAATAGTAACTTCGAAATGCTGACATTTGTTAATGAAACTGTAACAGATACACATACGACCAATACAGACTATAAAACATGTAGATATCTGAAGAAAGGATGATACTGTTATTTAAAACATTACAACTCACTCACAGTATTGTAGAGAACATATAGAAACTTCAATCACTAAATCAACAAAATGACTCGGTAAATAAATAACACTGGATTTAGTATGTAGGAGTTTAATGTCACAGATACAACAAAATGTGACCGAAACAACAAAAAGAAATACTACTGTCAACATGAAAGAATTCACGTCACTAGTATATAATGAACAAACTGACTCTGAAACAACAGAAACACTGTATTTAATATGTAGGAGTTGAATGTCACAGATACAACAAAATGTGACTGAAACAACAAAATGAAATACTACTGTCAACATGAAAGAATTCACGTCACTAATATATCATGAACAAACAGACTCTGAAACAACAGAAACACAGTATTTAATATGTAGGCGTTGAATGTCACAGATACAACAAAATGTGACGGGGACAACAACAACACTACTCAACATGATGACACTAACGTCACAAAGGTAACAACATGAGACTGGAATAACTATAGAGAACACTGCACTGCGATACGAAATATTTATAACACAAATTAGTAAAACGTAACTATAACACTAAAAACAGACTCCACATAAAACAGAATTGTTTAATGTGAAGGAATATTTACTACTAAAAAAATCTAGTTGTTTTAATGTATTTATGCATGTTAATTAAATAAAAAAAAAACTAATGAATGAATGAATATTTATTCATTTAATTCTAAATTCGAAATTAACTAATATTTCCTATCATGCGTAACGATGGTGGTGGCAATATGTGTGGTAACTAAAAATTTAATAAAAAAAAATATACACACGACTACAATCCTTAATGGTTTAGTCAGAGGTGTAAAGACTAAAAGCAAAAAAGTGTTGCTAAAATAGTCTGCACGTTGCTATTTTATTCCGTGAAAATAATTGCTTATATATATATATATATATATATATACATATATACACACTAATTGCATAAATTTTTGCTGGAAGTTTCCTTTGTTCTTCACAGCTGGAGCTCAGCTGCATTACCTGACCTTTGTGACAGACCCGAGACCCGCTGTGGTAGGATGCAGTCAGTAACGCTTCAAATATGGCCGAATCAACAGGCTGAAAGGCGATTGGGACAACTGGGCCTGATCATCGTATTATTTTGCCAGTGTTTGTGTTAAGTGTACCAGGGTGTGACAGTGGTTCACGGACAGTGATTAGTGACGTGAGATGTGATTACGGGAAACGAGAATGATTAAGAGCAACGTGAATCGAACTGTGGAGCCGTGAAATGTGACACTGCTGATGCTGGCCAGAGTGATTGCAGCAAACGTGAAGGTTGCTACGGGGCGCAGGGGTAAGGGATTGTTAGTAATGCGGATTACCAGTCCCATTGCTAGCAATATGCCCTGGTCAGGTCGATCTCCACCTGGAAACTATCGTGCTGAATGCCAAATGTGTTCATCACGATGGGGTAAACGATCTGCCTTTCCATTCTCATCTTCATCCTTCACTGGTGCCCCGCTAGCGCATACGGTTAGCACAGATGGGGTAATAATTCCATCATCATCCATTAAAAAAACTACGAGGTGCAGTGACTAAATTTTGTATTATAGAGATACAAAAAGTTGTTAAATATTGCGCACATTAATCATTGTATATCCCTTTTAGACCTGAGCGATACGGGCGTGAGTTGTAACTTTAAAAAATTCTAAAACCGCGCGTAATTCATTTTTACGCACGAAGCTGAGATAACATGATAGTGAGATTCTAAACCAGTCAATAAGAAATCGTTTTAGCGGTTAGCTGGTGCAGTAGTCTCGTGCGTGCCGGCAAGATGGCCTGGCTCCAAAACACGAAAATATATTTAATCTGAAAGAAAAAAAATCTTGGGTCTGAAAGAGATAGCCATATGTTCCTATGACATGTGCTTCTGTTTGTTTATCATATAATAATTTACATTCTACAAGTTACAACATGAGTATTTCCTTAATATATGTTGTATTTGATTTAATAAACAATATGATAGCTGATAGTTACAATTGTAAATATAGCAAATGTAAACGACTGATAACTTTAGTACCAGTCATATGGGTCGCCATAATGGATGATTCGTGAAGTTATATATACTTATTAACATTATAATCTCTTTATAAAAGAATCATCAGAGCCATTTGATAGGTACTTATGAATATATGCCACAGGGGGGAAAGGGATTGTTAGTAATAGAGACTAAAAATCCCGTCATTGCTAGCAATATACCTAACCAGGTCGACCTCCACTCGGTTCACCCTGGAAACTATCGTGGTTAATTCCTGATGAATTCATCATGATGGGCTAACTGGCCTGTTTTCATTCTCATCTATCACCCTTCACTGGTGCTCCGCCAGCGTATCCCGTTAGCGCAGGCGGGGTTACTATACCATTTTCATCCAACAAAAAAAATATATGCCACACATACCCAACCGGGTAATACAGGTATATTTATATGAATATATTTTATCAAATATTATACATAATATTTTAGTAAATAGTAGTTGTTAAGATGCGGTATATAAATACAGGGACCTTGCTCAATTGTGTTGTTATGGAGGATTATCATGGTAATATAATAATAACCATAGTGAGCCCATATTATTCGAGAAGCTGACAATATGAATGTGTGAGTAAAGCCATAAATTAATAGAAATACTATTTATAAATAGTATGAGGACAAGTGTTCGCTGAAAAACAATATATAACAAACTCTAAAATAAGACAGGAACGATGATAAAATACCAGCCAACTATATGAATAAGGAAAAGAGAATGGCGTTTGACTTATAATTTCAGTGGAGCCCAGAAATCGTACTTTGCTTTAATTAAAAAAAAACTGGAATATAGACACAGAAGTTGGTACAACATTCCTTTGAAGAATTACCGCTTTATTCCATTGTATTTTGAATACTTCTTGATTATAAAAACAAACATAAAGCGATATTGTACTCAATGCAAGAAATATGTGAATCAAAGAATATGATAGAATTATCAAAATTGCTACATGCTAACAAGATCAGTGCGATATATATTTCAAGATTTACTGCCAGTAAGTGAAATTTGGGTATATTAACAAGGTGCCGTTTTATTATAAGAATTGTTAAATCTTTAAATATCCAAGGCTCTAAATAACATAATAAGACTCAAAATATTTATATCTCAGAATAATAAATTTTCAAAACATTTAAATTTCAAAAGAAATCATACAAATATTTTTAAACGACGTAATTTTTAATTATTTGTAATAAAATCTAATTTAATCCGCTTAAGGAAAATGAGAGTAATAAAATTGTTTGTACATGCTGTTAATTTTCTATCGATCATAACGTCATAAAGATCTGTCAATATGTATCAATAAATAATACTATTTTAATATAATTATACATCCATTTATTTGGATTTTCTTATTGTGATTTCAATTGGACTTCCATTTTATAATGTTACAATTAATTGCAATTTTATACTCTCTGTTCGCAGATTGAATTGATTTTAAATAATTATATCCTAGTATTTACAGTGTTTATATATTGAAGCACGTGCCCGTACAAAAATATATACTTTTCAATAATTAAACGTTATCTGTTTATTTATATATCAACACTCCCCCAAAACAAAATATCTCACAGGTATGAGAATTGCGTTATCTCCGTGACGTAGCGAAGATTTTGGACAGAACAAATTGAGAACTAATTCACTGAATCACTCGCACATCTAAAATAGAATATATATATATATATATATATATATATATATATATATATATATATATATATATATATATATATATATATATATATATATATATATATATATATATATATATATATATATATAAACTATTTTACTGAATTACTCAGAATTTTCATTATAGAACAAAATGAAAACAAATTCATTGGACTATTTGCTTCTCTCCTTGGTATAACAAAAGTTACAAGTAATCTGCTAAACTTTTTACTTCTCCCCACGATAAAACAAACTGACAACTTATTCAGTGGACTTTTGCTTCTCTCCACGATAAAACAAACTGACAACTTATTCATTGGACTTTTGCTTCTATCCATGATAAAACAAGTTGACAAATAATTCATTGAACTATTTGCTTCTCTCCACGATAAAACAAATTGACAACTAATTAGTTGAACTGTTTGCTCCTCTCCACGATAAAACATATTGACAACTAATTCATTGAATCTTTTGCTTCTCTCCATGATAATACAAATTGACAATAACTTCACTGAACTTCTTGCTTCTTTCCATGATAATACAAATTGACAATAAATTCACTGAACTTCTTGCTTCTCTCCATGATAATACAAATTGACAATAAATTCACTGAACTTCTTGCTTCTTTCCATGATAATACAAATTGACAATAAATTCACTGAACTTCTTGCTTCTCTCCATGATAATACAAATTGACAATAAATTCACTGAACTTCTTGCTTCTTTCCATGATAATACAAATTGACAATAAATTCACTGAACTTCTTGCTTCTCTCCATGATAATACAAATTGACAATAAATTCACTGAACTTCTTGCTTCTCTCCATGATAATACAAATTGACAATAACTTCACTGAACTTCTTGCTTCTTTCCATGATAATACAAATTGACAATAAATTCACTGAACTTCTTGCTTCTCTCCATGATAATACAAATTGACAATAACTTCACTGAACTTCTTGCTTCTTTCCATGATAATACAAATTGACAATAAATTCACTGAACTTCTTGCTTCTCTCCATGATAATACGATTTGACAATTAATCAATCAATGATAATACAAATTGACAATAAATTCACTGAACTTGTTGTTTCTCTCCATAATTAAACAAATTAACAATTACATAAATAACGAAATTACAAACTAAACGAATTTTGCTAGTAGAGTAGTCGTACTAACATGTAGATTTTATTTCATAAAAAGAAATCGACTTCAGTAATGGCAAAACTAGTTATTTATTTGGGATTTAAAAACTAAACTACTGAATTAATCTGAAATTATATCCTTTAAATAAAATTTAGGAGGTAACAAAAACATTCGAGTTGAGATACTACTCCTTTCTTTAAATTCGCTTGAAAAAAAAACTGCATAAAATTTTTCTTACAAATATTTTTTAATTTAGAAGGTACATTTTAGGATATCTATTAATAAGTGAATACCCATAAAAATTGTACAAAAATGGGTGCATAATGATTGGTTGGAACGCAGCTTTTTAGTACATTATTATTTTTTATGCAAAATCCTTCCTAACTTATAATATCCTTCTTTGTACATTATATTTTCCGTGTTATTGTGTAATCCTATTTATGTATGTATAAGTTTTACATTACATTTAAAATGTATGCTATTCAATTTTAGGCAAAGAAAACGTTCTTCCCACCGAGACCGAAGGCAAGGAAAAGGAAAGCGCCCGAAAATAGTGACACGATACCGCGGTCTTCGTCACAAGATTCCGGGTTCGAGTCTCTAAACAGCCAGAAATCACAGGTGGGCAGTAGTAAGTTGGGTTTGGGGTCGGGCGTAGAGCTCAAATGGGGATCGAACGGGCGGAGGGCTCGCAAGCGGCGTACTTCTTCCGAACGCAGCGGCGGCTCCGGGAGTTCCTCTAAAAAGCGTAGGCACACTGATGAAAACTGTCCGTCAGATTTGGAGAGCACAGTTAAAAAACGTCGCTCCAAAAATGACCACGATCTCCCACGTACGGGAAGTTCGGCTAAAAAGCATCGCTCCACGGATGAGAATAATCATTCCGGCTCTGATAGCGGAACTAAGACGCTTAGTTTAACAGACGACAACGATCATTCGAGCACCGAGAGCTCGGGTAAACAGTTTAAATCCGCGAACGACAAAGATACGGTGCAACCCATAATTAAGTCGATAAGCGAACCGTCCGTGTCGGTTCACGCCGCGTCCGCGTCTAAAGAGGACGAGTCAAAAGACTTGTGTATCATATGCTATGTTCGTCCAAAGTCGGGTGTGTTCGCCCACGGCAGGCTCGCACACATTTGCTGTTGTTATAAATGCGCCGTCAAAGTGTGGAGCACGTCCAAACGTTGTCCCGTGTGCAATTCCAAAGTGAGTAACGTACTCAGAGCGGTGGTCATGTAAATTTACAATTAGGATCGTTGAATTTCTTATAGGTAGGTATTTCTTAAATTCAAATCCTTAAACCATTTATAAACAGTACGACGACGTTTATACAGATCTTCCATACTAATCCAATCATTTTTGGATCTATATTTTTTCTTTAAATATCGATTATTGTTGATTGAATATTACAAAAACAAACCTTGGCGAACAAGAAAGGTTTAAAAGGTATCAAGAAAAAAAAAACTTAAAACGGATACTTCAAAAAATATGGCTCAACAAATGAAAATGACTCGAACTTCCATACAAATCTCGCGATCGCATGATCTACCCGTATGTATGGGATGGACCTAAAATTGTTTTCATATTTTGACTTGTGGTTTTGTGGTATTATTCATAGGATTGTTAAATACCTTATGTACGTACGTCGCTACGTATAATTAATATAGTGTATAACTATATTAATTATACAGGATGATACAGAAATCAGCTAACTTGATACTTGTATGCGTCGTATTTATTTGTTGCTAAAAGAATATTTATGATTTTCGTTTCATGCTGTATGTGTATTTAATTTGTCCTTTATTATCTAGGTTTGGATCGTCCTATTTTGATTTCTCATTATTATCATCATATCACGTTATTATATCCGTTCACTGTCCACTATTGGTCTGTCTGTAAGGGGTTGCCCACTCTATGTCGGGCATATGAGTATTAGTATATAAATTAGTTCGTGCGTCCAACGATTCATGTTTTGTTTCATCAAATAACGCCTCTACGTATATAATTACGGAAAGTGAAAATGCTCAGTTTCCAAGAACGGTTAAAAGTTTAAATTTTGCATAACATTGTAATGAATGTCTTATCGTTTTAAAAATTTGACTATACAGTTGCAGATAATTCACTAACATCGTATGGATAAACAAATAGTCCAATAAAAGGAATGTTTATATTTACTTTTTTCTTTCTTTTACGCTATGTCTTAATTTTCTAGTCTATAATATTTTTTTGAGTTATTGAAAATAATAAATGTATGCTATAAAACGTTAGACAATTTAAAATTAAGTAAAGTTAAAGTTAAATTTAAAATTAAGAGAGGCTGGGTAAGTGTGCCTTCTCAAAATTTGTTTAGTACGTAACCCAGCACTATTGTTTTTATTTAACAGATTAGAATACTACAAGTTGGAATACGATTTACAAGTTTTTCTTTAAATTATCTTTAATTACAAAATAATAGAAATAATAATAAATAATAATCAATTAAAGTCACAAATCTCGATTCTAGCGCCATCTAGAATGTCTTGTCTAATTTTCTTGAGTTTTAGTTTTTGTTGTCTAAGTATAAAAAACTAAAGAAAATAGGATATACTTAAGTATTTGTTGCACAAAATAGACTTCAATTTTGAAGTACAGACTAAAATATACTATAATACATATAAAGGTACAAAAGGCGTTTTTATCGTTAGAGCAATCTCTTACAGGCAACCTTTGGTTAAAGGAGAAAATGAGAGAGAAGTACATACAATAGGTATTTATGTACAGAAGGTTTACTTCACAAGGAACTTTACAAATAGCACTAGCTCTAAACCACTGAGTTTTCAATTATCACTACTATACTGTGTCATAGAATAAGTTTCTTTTTTGTGTTTTTTTTTTTTTTTTTATTAAGCAATATTAACCTACGGAATTACTGGCTCAATGAAATTTGCTCTTGTTCGCTATGCCAAATTTTTTAATGTCGTTTCTCATATCACCAGAGGGAGACTTTGTACAAAAGTCGTTTGCTTGGGTACCTCTGTCCTATTCGTGTTTCAACCGTGAAGCAGTTGTGTTTGCATGGCTGTGTATCGGTTTGAAGGGTGGGATATGGCGTCAATTTACAGGGTACAGAGGAATAACACCTGAGTCCTCAGGAATGGCAACGCATGGGGGGGGGGTGTATCATGGGCGAAACAGTATACTCTGTTATGTCCATGGTACTGCTCATGTCTATAGGCGACGGTTACTACTTTCCATCAGGTGGGCCGTCAGCTTGTTTGCCATTCTAAGTTATATAAAAAAAAACATGCGTTGGATCCGCACATTGGGACGATATTTAGGTTTCATACTTACTTATTTACCTCATGGAACTGTTATTATAAATGTGAAAGTATTACTATATTTATTTATTCATTTATTTATTTCTTTATTGACCACATTACAAAAAAAGATTGGTTCAAGAGACGGACTTAATACTATATAGCATTCTCTCCCAATCAACCTTTGGTGAAACAAAAATATGATGCAGCTATAAATTGAAAATTTAAAGAATAAAAAATTTATAAAAATTCAAAGAAATTACATGCGTTTATTATATATTTTAGTGAGTTTAATCATGGGGTGCTTTTATCTGACATTTTATGGTATATATAATATATATGTATCTATGTATAATACTAATATTAGTACATACAGTAACAACTAACTGTAACTGACACCCAATTCCTATATTCGCGGCTAAAGATTTCTATATTCGCGGATTTTATATCGTTGCTTATTAATAAAAAGTATTAAATTATCCTTTGTAAACACGTCAGCGAATAGACTAATAAAAGTAAAATACACCTTATTATAACTATGCTTAAAGTATATTATCTAATGCTATCGCCGCTGTATAAGTGGTTCGGTTTTCTATATTCACGGTTTCTATATTTGCGGCATATTCACGGAACGTATACCCCGTGAATAAAGAACTTTTACTGTACACAGCTGACATAGCCGTTAACATGAAATCTCTACTCTACTGGGTTATTTTAAAATAGTAATAGCTTTTAGATTTAATTGTTAATATTTACCCCTCAAACGGAGGGTATGGTCAGTCGATCTACTTAAATAGTTTGTAATTTTTTTTTCCATATAATTACTATTTCTTTGTAATTGTATGTATACGTTAGATTTTAGTTTAGTTTTAGTAACTCTAGTAATAGGACACTGTCGGGCTTATCTACTTAAAATTAGCTCTTTAGTATTATGTTTTGTCCTCTCACGGGGGCATCATTTCATTGTAATTCAATTAAAAAAAAAAAAAAAAAAAAAAAAAATATATATATATATATATATATAATAAGTTTTTTTTTTTTTTAATTAAAAATTAATATTAAGAAAATTGAGTCGATTCTTAGATGCCATTTCGCTGAACTTATCGTAACCTAATATTTTAATTTGTTAATTTTGTAATATTACTATTTTATGGACCACCAAAAACTAATGATAAATTTGACTTAAATTTATTAGAAATTTAGTTCGTATAGGTCCTTAAAATAAATATTTTGCTATAATATCAAGTTGGAATATTAATTTTTGAGATGGATTTAGAGAAGTTGCGTCTCAGAATTGACCGCATTATGCCCAATATATTTTATTGGTATTTATTATAATATAATCTCACTACTATATTATTCTGTATCTATTAATTTACATGTATATATAGTTTACATAATTTCACCAGTGGTAGGATGATAGGTGAGGATGAAAGCAGCTCAGTTAGCCCATCGTGACAAATCCACAAGAATTAACCACGATAGTTTTTAGGGGGAACCGCGTGGAGGTCGACCTGATAGAGGGTGTATTGCTAGCAAGGGCGTTGCTAAGAATACTAAGAAATATTAGCCAGTAAATCGTAATGTTTTAGATTAAGTTTACTGTTATTCTTTACAAAATCTATAATCCCTTTAATGAGGGGTTGTTATTTAGTTATAAAAGTTAATTTAAATACATATAAAGATAATTTTATTTTATAATTGTTAATTATTTGCTTTTTTTTTTGTTTTTCTATATAAGTTAGAACATTACATACTTCAGCTTACCGCTAACGAAATGCTTTCTTACTGTATTGGGTTGACTGGAAGAGATCTCTGTCAGAGATAAGTCCACCCTTGCTTACATTTATAAATACATTATTTTATATGTAACTTACAATATATATATATATATATATATATATATATATATGCATATATCTTTGTATATATTTGTTTATATATAATAGTACGCCACCTATCCTTTGTTTTTCTTTCTTTTCTCAATGTTCTCTACCCAAAGGTTGTCTGGAAGAGATTGTTTAGCGATAAAGCCACCTTTTATATCATTTCTTATTACAGTTAAATGTATTTACTATTTTATAAATGGTGCAATAAAGTGTAAATAAATAAATAAGTATATATTACAGCCAATTAATCATTGAGTCAGCAATTTCGTCGTCTCTGAAATATTTTCCTAATAGGGCGCACTTAATAACGTTGATAATTCGATATTTATTTTATTTTAAATTTCGAAACGATTTTTTTTTTTATTAGATAGTAATAGGCTCAAGAACTAATTCATTCTGATGGATGGTTTTGTTTTTTTTTTTTCTTTAGTAAAGTTTAAGCCAATGTACATATTTATTTACGTATGTACAATACATATATAATCGTCTATATTTTAAAGTAAGGACAACCGGATTAATTAATGTAATAAATTAGCCTACATTAATTAAAAAGAAATTAATTATAGGAGGGTAATTTAAAAATGTCTCTTCGAAGAGCACGTTGACATAACATACCGGTGTATTCCAGCAAGCAATGTCTGAGGCCTGCCATCGTGTGTTTGCATTTAATAAGGAATGGCAAATAAGCTGACGGCCCACCTGATGGAAAGTGGTAGCTGTCGAACATTATGAACATAGCAAAATACACTGTGATGCCCATGGCACCCCTCATGTGTTGCTAATCCCGAGGACTAAGGTGTTTCCATACTCTGTAATTTAACTGCCATATTCTTTACAAACCGAATCACGGCGATACAAGCACAGCTTTACGACAGGAGAAGGGGGAAGGGATTGTTAGCAATGGAGTTTGACAGCCCCATTGCTAGCAATAATGCCTTTCAGGTCAACCTCCGCGTGTTTCCCCCCGGAAACCATCGTGAACAATTCTCGTTGAATTCGTCACGATGGGCTAACTGACTTGTTTCATCCTCGTCTCTCATCCTTCACTGATGCCCTGCCGGTGTATACCGATAGCGCGGGTGGGGTTACTATTTCATTATCACCTATAAAAAAAACTTTACGGCGGAAACATGAGAATGAAAAGCAAACATATAACGATGGCGGCCTAGACACCAGAGGGCGACACCGTCAAACAAATAGTAGTATGCATAATTATTAAAAAGATTTTAACTATTTGCCAAAATGTCAAAGTATACACAGTATATGTAGGTGATTTTTTTTTTCGTTTAATTTTCATATTATCTTGCAATACAACCGACATTTATCAAGTGACGTGTATCGTTTTGGACGTTGCTTCACAAGTATCTTTAAAGTCGACTCTCCACTGGGGAATGAATTACAAAAAATGTTTTCTCTATTATATTTATATATAGCGGAGCTTTAATTTTATTTTAATAATTTAGTTAAAATAAATGTTATAAAATATATGTTAATAATATGTTCATATATCGTGATTCAACTGTTTGTAATAATAAAAACTCAAATAATTTAATTTAAAAAACAAACATCCGCGTGAAATAATATCGTCAAAATATATTAAAAAAAAAAAAAAACTATAGTATAGAAACTTCCCATTGGTATACTATTTTTTTTTTAATTGTAGCGCAAACAGAATATAGATTAACTAAAATATTTCGTAAGTTGTAAATAACGTTAACTGAGACAAGAAAAAAAAAACAGATTAATATATTGAATTATTAGTTAGTATTTTCATTAAATATGTTATTATTAGTCGTACTAAATAAAGTGTAAATACGCTGATGGCTATGCAATAAATACGATTTAAACGCCCTCTACAATAACGTGATGTAAATATAAAATGATTAATTGCCACTGGCAACACAAGAGACATATTGATGACTAAAAAAATATATATTATGATTTTTTATAATTGAAGTCTAATTAATAATTATTTTTTAAATAAATATTCCTAAATAACGTTGCACCGTTCGTTATATTTTCGGTGATAACTGTCTACCATAGACAGAAGATAACGACATATAGTGTTAAGACCGCCATTTACACTGTGTGTATTGAAGGTAAATGAATAAAAAAAATATCCAACTATTTCTATAGTGGTATATTATCAAATGCAAAATTACTGTTTTCTTTATAATAGTGATTAAAATATGTACCCTTCTAGGCTGCTTTATAGTTTTATTTAAAATCAAGTGGTTGGTAACATTGGGGGTTATTTAATAGAGACTCTCGCCTCACGTTGTTTATGGTTTATAAGAGATGGGAACTAATGCGATCGTTCAGGTAAAATATGATAGTTTATTTGGATTGTCTCGAAGTTCCAACTGCGAGCTGGAACCAAGTGATCAAAAAAATTTACTATGCATAAATAATATAAAGACACCATATGTGAGTGGATGGAAGACGTCTGCTTCACAAGCGGAGACATAGCATCATGGTTTACCTAATGATCACATTAATTTATATTTCTTATGAACCATGAAAATCGGTTCTCTTTTGTTAACCTCACTTATTTTTTGTTTTGTTTTGATTAAAAACTTTTTCCCTTGTACCAATTGTGAATCAATAAATATGATTATTATGTTCCTTCTAAGTATATGTGTATGTTTATATATTATATTAAACAATGTATAGTTGTATAAAAGTAAACATTTTAAAGTTAAATATTAAATGCGAAGTGTATAAATTTAATTAGATTGTGAACATTTAGGCGTTAAGTATTTAAGACTAATTTTTCCACTTTCCCACCTAATTACCCTGCCGCAGAATAGAAATTGTTTTCTTATATGATTTATAAATATATTAAATATTTAAATACTTGCTAAATTATATATTATATAAAAAAAAAATTATACCTTAATGTTATTTAAAATTGACCTACATTGATATTTTAATTGTGTTAAATAAAGTGTAGGTAGAGGTGTATGATTGGTTTTAAGAATGCTAAGGGAGAATATGTTGCGAGGTTTTTGAAAAGCTGTGCCCAGATCTATTAATAACGTTTATAATGGATTTAGTAAAATTATAAGTACACGTTGAGTTGTGAGTGAAATGTTATATATATATATATATATATATATATATATATATATATATTGTGTATTTATGTTGATAATAGGCTCGATTCTGTAGCGTCGTTTTTTTAAACCTATCTTTAAAATTTCAATTTGATTTCATAGCGGATTCTTTATTGCGAGAACCAGTATGAATTAATTTTATATGTTTTATCGCTAGTTTGTGTACAATACAAGAATAAAAAAAAAAACTAAATTTCTAATTGATTTAAATCAGAATATATAATTATAAATTAACTATCACACTGTTTTGTCACTTTCTATCAAATTGGGAATTTAGCATAAAAGAAAGAGACAGGTAATAATTTAATAGTTAAAATGATTTTGAGAGATTTAACGTTTTTATGAATTAGGGATTAGTGTATGGTGATTCATAAAACATAATTATTTCCTGAAATTATATACATACATATCTGTCATGTCTCCCATTAGGGTAGGCAGAAACAATGGAACGCCAAATGCTTCGATTCAAACAAACCTGAAATTGTCAATATAAAATATTAAGTAATGGCGTATTAAAATCGATCCTGTTATTATGTGGATTAAAATTCTCTTAAAACATTTTTGCTATGAAATATGATATATTGTGCTTATTTATTTATTTATTTATAGCAAGGCAACAGATTACAAATTAATACATTATAGTAAAATAAATATTACATAAAACAGCATCAAATTTGCACTCCAATAACTGCTCTGCATAACACTCGATATTAGAAACATTAAAAGAATAACGGCTATAAATTTAAAGTAACAAATTGGCAGCCTTAATGTAACATTGCAAGGATTGTAGGAAAATATCAAGCATCTTGCATACATTGTTATATTTTCCGCACATGCGCATAATTGGATTGTGATACGATACATTGTTATTACAAATCGGTATATAAAATATTTTTTTGTATTCTTTTATTACCTTTACGTAATGAAACAAGGCTCAATAATGTGCTAGTTTCCCATTTATAATTTATTATTTTATAGAGAGTGATGAAATCAGACATTCTTACTTACAGACAGACTTGTGTTTTTATTATAGTCATTACTGGAGTGCTGATTGTATGTTTGTTGTAAGTGGGTACATGATGATGCACTGAGTGAAACCGTATGACTGTGTCTCTGCGTAATAATTCATTTTTAACACAATTGTCTATCAATTAGGGTTACTCTATGGTATATCAATGGGAAGATTTTTAAGTTAGGTACTTGTGTAATTTTTGTTGTTATTAAAAAATGCTGTGATAGAAGAAATGCAAAAAAAAAAAATTAAATTAAATATAAATTTTATCTACTTTGTTTTTTATTTATTAATTTATTCCCTTGCCGCTATTATTATGATGTCCTGTCTCCCTAGACAAGTAGCAAGCAACACTATCTATGAAATCGTCACTGCAAGCGAGCTTATGGAAAGTTGGAATGAGACTTGGGACGTTGTTTTTTAAGATCTTTATCTAAAAGGATATAGTTACAGACTAGTCCCATAGAATTTTTTATCAAAATCGGTTCAGTACTTTTTAGATTAAAATATTTGGTTTTTGTTAGGACTAAAGGCAATTTTTTGTGAGACACAAGCTTAAATTTTGCTATAAAAAATATAAGAGCTTAGATTGAGTATAAAATTTATAATTATTAATTTATTTATTTATTCTTTATTGTACATAAAAAATTACAAACATGTATATAAAATAAAGATGTACAACAGGCGAGCTTAACTCTGTAAGAGTTCTCATCCAGCAAACCCTGAGTGGAAAGGAGTATTAATTACCAGCGGGCAGTATGCGTACAATAATAGAAGGAAACATTATAGATAATTGTTGATAGATAGATAAGTTTCAAAGTGGTCGGGATTTGAACCCGTAACTTTTACTTTATTGTCAGTGCTCTTACCTCGCCCTTAGGGATCGATTCTGAGGCGAAATCTTTATTCCAGAGGGATATATATCTATATATATAAACGATATCTTCCAGAGGACGACAGTACAAGTCGTTTGCTTGGACACCTCTATCCCATTCGTGTTTCTACGGTGAAGCAGTTGTGTTCGCATGGCTCTGTTTCGGTTTGAAGGGTGGGATATGACAATGAAATTTTAGGGTACAAAGGAATAACACCTGAGTCCTCAGGAATGATAACAGATGGGGGCTATCGTGGGCGGAACATTATATTCTGTTATGCTCATGGTACTGCTCATGTCTATAGCCGACAGTTACCACTTTCCATCAGGTGGGCCGACAGCTTGTTTGTCATTAAGTTTCATAAAATAAATTCTACGCACTAATATGAATAAAATTTTTAATAGACTTAAGTTAAAATTATTGTAAATATAGGTATTCTATGATAGCACAGCAATTTATAGAAACTGTAAAATGAAAAGAATAGGTTAACAAATAGGGCAGCCCTTAGTGCTTTTGATCTTTCTTACCTCAATTCTAGCTTCTTTTGGTAAGTATCGTAGAGTTTTGCTGCTTGATAAAATCCTAAATAGACAGGTAGAACCAAAGTGGCTACAAAGCTGGAATTGCTTGGAGTATTAGAGAGCTGAAGCATGGCATTTGGTCATATAGCGCAAAGATATAGCTACCTATGGAAAAAAGTCTAGTGGCGATCCCATACAGACAAATCTAGTGTGGAACGATCTCATAGATAAAGCTACGATCTCAAGTATGTTGAAGGCAGTCCGCGTTTTTCTTTGTGTTTTTATTTTTATAGATGATAATGGAATGAAAGACAATCGGATAGCCCATCGTGATGAATATACCTGGAATTCAGCTTGATGGTTTCCAGGAGCGACCACGTGGAGGTCGACCTGACAAGGTATATTGCTAGCAATGGGGCTGGTAGCCCACATTACTACCAAACCTTCCCCCTCCCCTTCTAAAAAGTCAGGTCAGTTAGCCTATCGTGATGAATACACCTGAAATTCATCAAGATGGTAACCAGGCGGGCACGTGGAAGTCGATCTGACAGGGTTACTGCTAGTCCGCAGTACTAACAATCCCTTCGCCCCAGTGCGGGAATTTTTTTTAAAGGGTGATAATGGGATGGTAACCTCGCCAGCCCTATCGGTATATGCTGACGGGGCACCAGTGAGGGATGATGACAAAACCAAAAACAAACTGATGTACAGACGGTGCGATGGGTGACGTATAAACATCAACGCCAAAGGATTGTGGTCCAACGACTACCGGAAAACCTATGAACAAAGGAATTAGGAACTCCACTAAGAAATAAATAGAACTGACAGGAAATGAAGTATAACGGAATGAAAGAATGGAGGGAAAGGAAGAAAACTAAGGAAACTAGCTAAATAATTAAAAATAATAGATGCATAACCCGGAACTTAATATCCGGGAAAAAGCGTGCTCCAAAGGGGGAGCCATAGTAAAAAAAAAAGAGGGATGATAGATGACTATGAAAGCAGGTCCGTTAGCCCATCGTGACGAATTCTACTAGAATTAACCACGATGTTTTCCAGCGGGAACCGAGTGGAGGTCGACCTGATAGGGGGGTGTATTACTAGCAATGGGTCAGTTAGACCCCATTACTAACAATTCTTTTCCCCCCCAAAAAGACAGGTCAGTTAGCCCATTGTGATGATTACACCTGGAATTCATCAAGATGGCATCCAGGGAGGCCACATGGATGTCGACCTGACAGATGTCTAGTAATTCGCATTACTAACTAGCCCTTCTCCCTAGTGAGGGATTTTTTTTTAATTGATGATAATGGAATGGTAATCCCGCCCGCGCTATCGGTATACACTAGCGGGGCACCAGTGAGGGATGATAGGTGAAGATGAAAAGGCAGGTCAGCGCATCGTGATGAATACACCTGGAATTTAGCACGATAGTTTACAGGGGGAACCACGTGGAGGTCGACCTGATAGGCTATATTGTTAGTAATGGGGCTGTTTTTTTTGATGGGTGAAAATGGTACGGTAACCCCGCCTGCGCTAACGGAATACGCTAGCGGAGCACCAGTGAAGGGTGATAGATGAGAATGAAAACAGGCCAGTTAGCCCGTCATGAAGAATTCATCAGGAATTAACCATGATAGTTACCAGGGAGAACCGCGAGGAGGTCGACCTGGTTGGGTATATTGCTAGCAGTGGGATTCTCAGTCTCCATTAGTAACAATCCCTTTCCCCCCGGTAATGGGGCTGTTAGACCTCATTACTAACAATCCCTTCCCCCCAGTGGGGGATGTTAGGTGAAGATGAAGCAGGTAAGTTGGCTCATAATAATAAATTAATAAATCAACCACGATTTTCCATGGGGAACCGCGAGGAGATCAATCTAATAGTGTATATTGCTAGCAATGGGGCAGTTTTTTTTTAATGGGTGATAATGGAATGGTAACCCCGCCCGCGCTATCGATATACACCGGCGGGGCACCAGTGAGGGATGATATGTCAGGATGAAGCAGGTCAGTTAGCCCATCGTGACGAATTCAACAAGAATTGTTCACGATGGTTTCCAGGGGGAACCGCGTGGAGGGCGACCTGATAGGGTGTATTGTTAGCAATGGGTTCATTAGACCCCATTACTAACAATCCATTTCCCCCCGCAATGGGGCAGTTAGACCCCATTCCTACTAACAATCCCATTTCTTTTGTCTATAGGGTCAGTTAGTAGGTTTTATTACTAGGTGTATAAAAAAAGCAAAGTTACAGCGCTTTTTAAGGACAGTGGCAATATATTTTAAGGAACGTATCTATATTGAATGGTAGGTAGACATACGTTGGCGGGGTACCGGTAAATGACGTTAGATAACGTGAGAAAAGTAATGTTTGATGCGATAGAGTCGTGAACATGTTAATTTTATTATTAAAAAAAAAATAACAATCAAATATCCGTACGTAAATACTATAATCATGTATGTCAAGGTCTAAGACTCTGTAAAGTCTTGGTGTAACGGGATGACTAATCAAGAACGGTGGTGTCATATCACCTGATCACCAAACGTAAATGGAACGCAGTAACCTCTTATTCACACTATTATATGAATGTAAATAGTTTTTATAATGTAAAAGTTTTCTTAAACAAAAAAAAAAAAAAATTAATTGTTAATCTTAAATGTATTTTTGCATGCTATCACCTTGTTAGCTAAGCACGTATGTTCTTTCACTAATGTAACATCTTTGACTTTACCGTGTTTAAGCAAATAAATAATTATTATTATAAATATATAATATATTATAAAAATTAAAAACTTACCTTGTTTATTTATTTGTGCACGCTTTTAAGAGATTTTCATTCAATATCTACTTTACTGATAAATTTGATAACGTATTACGAACTGATTTTAAACATATATCAATGGCGTTACAAACACTATTTGGCAATGATAAAACTAGAATTGCAATAAGGGTGCCAAGTATAGAATAATTTTTCAAAAATTTTAGCTTCGCGGTTTTAAATACATTTAATGTTACGAGTCGGTGTAAAATGGTAAATCACTTGTGCAATACGTAGTGTTGCCAACTTTATTTCAAAAAAATACCTACTTACATGAAAGTTTCTAAAAATTTTATTAATCTAAATTCCATAGGGGGGGAAAGGGATTGTTAGTAATGGAGACTGAGAATCCCATTGCTAGCAATATACCCAGCCAGGTCGACCTCCTCGCGGTTCTCCCTGGAAACTATCATGGTTAATTCCTGATGAATTCATCATGATATGCTAACTGGCCTGTTTTCATTCTCATCGATCACCCTTCACTGGTGCTCCGCCAGCGTATCCCGTTAGCGCAGGCGGGGTTACCATTCCATTTTCACCCATCAAAAAAAAATCTAAATTCCATTATAACTAAATATTAACTACGTGGAAAGAAACTTTCATTTATTCAAATTTAAAAAACAAAAGGATTACTATGTTTTTATACATTTATAACAAAAAATTAAAGAGCTCACAGTTTGTCGTTTCCATCAATTGTTACCATTTCATCCAGAAGTCTTCTTCAGATGGTGTACGGCGATTTGCGTCACGTCTCGCCTCGCACTGTCTGCGGACCACAGCTAGTATTGCCAGTAAAGACGTAGATTAGCGGATTGGGGCGGGGGCGGAGATAGCGGTGATATGAGATTATGGTGTTGTCAGTAGAGATGGGCAATCCACCTGGGTGGGTTTAAAGTCTGGTGGGTAAAAACCGGGTGTTTTGGGTTTATTGGGTTTAAACCCCATAAACACCCAAATTTTTGGGTGTTTATGATTTTGTACTTCATCATCGTCATCTCAGCCGCAAGACGTCCACTATACTGGACATAGACAATATTATTATGCAGCCTACAGAATAAAAAACTTTTAATTTGATTTTGAGTTTATTAAGAAAGAGATGAAAGTAAAATGTAAAACTACAGTCAATCACTGTCAGATTCAGAGTTATTACAAGCGATGAATTGTATAGGTTCGATAGGCTCTATTTCGTCTAAACTGTTATGTTCATTTACTTGCTCAATGAAAGCTTCTAAGGTATTTTCTTCATTAAACTGAATGTCCTCGCATTCAGCTTTATGTTTAAGATTCCAGTTATAACAAATGAATGAAATTTTTTCAGTTCTTTCAGTTGTAAGTCGATTTCTTTTGTTATTATGTATGTAGCCTTGGATACTAAAGGAACGCTCAGTGGCTGCCGAAGTACAGGGAGCTGATAGAATACGAATCGCTACTTTGCTTAACTCAGTGGAACCACAAATACCTTTCCACCATATTAGGGGCTCAATGCTATCTAATGAGCTCCATACAAATCCTCTGGCCCAAAAGTTTTCTTTAGCTTTATAACACGCCAAATCTGCCATTACATTTGACAAACTTAAGTGTTGGCTTAAATTGTAGATAAACTCCATACCCTTAAGTTCTTCCTCTTGAGTAAGTTCGACTCCTAGAGTCCTGGGGTCTAGAATATATGCTGCAAAATGTATTGGCCTCATTGCCATATTGCATCTTGAAGATACTGATGTTAGAATCTGCTGTTTGCTTTCTTCGCTCAATGTCGAAATCTCATTTAATGCAAAACGTATCTTAGCTTGTACATCTCTAAATGTAATGTATGTGCGATGCAAACGATTCTGGTCGCTCTCTAAGTAAAATATGCTTTCAGTGACTGGTTCCAAAATACTTATACATTCCCCTGTCTTCGTCCAGAAATCATCACTTAGAATTAAATCTTTAATATCTCTTGAAATTACCACATCTTCTCTAACTGTTAATATTTGCAAAGCTATCTTATTTGCTTTCAAACTTTTTAACGAAGTAACATGACTTCCCCATCTTGTAGCACAAGGCAATTTTAGTGTTTGTGTAGAATCTTCACCCTGCCTTGATTTTATCAACAAGGAACTTAATCGTTGACTCCTTTTAACAGTTTTTATTATATTTATGGCTTGCATAATAAACACAGTTACTTCTTGTATCTTTACAATATCTTGGCACAACAAGTTAAGGATATGTGCACAGCAACCGAGAGGAACAACATGTGGATATTTGAGTTTTGTTAATTCGAATGCCTTTTGTATATTTCTAGCGTTATCGCCAATAAGTACAAGAAACTTATTTGCTCCATACACTTTCATTACTTTTTCAACTTCTTGGCTAAGGTATTCACTAGTGTGAGGATTACTTTCTGTATTCAAACTTTTAACGTATGCAGGTTGAGGTTTTGATATAAGAAAGTTTATTATTCCTTCATTTCTTAAATTAGACCAGCCATCGCACTGAAGGTGTAAGTAACTACAAGCATTTAGTTCCTCATTTAACTCAAAACGCATTTCTCTATATATTTTATCTAAGTATTTTGTCGCTAAAGCTTTACGTGAAGGTATTTTAAATTTTGGTTGCAATTTTTCGAAAAATTGTATCCATAAAGGATGTTGCACCATCGATAATGGCGTCCCTGTTACAAATATAGCTCTCGCTAATTCTGTTTTTATATGATCATCGGTGTCTTGAAACTCAGCATTTATTGTAGTGTTAGCAGACGACGAGGGGCTTATAAAAGAATCATTTGTCTCTATCTCTGACAGTCCAGACATTTTGGTTTTGAACGAGCTATCTTTTATAAGTTTCATAGAGTCTTTTAATGTTTCTGGAGATTTTGGACAAGTGATAAGATGTTGAAGCATTTTGGCAGCATTACTGAATTTGTAGACCTTATTACAAAGCTTGCAAGAAACAGACTTGTTTGGTAAAGTACGGTAGTGCTCCCATATGCGTAAATCTTTAGGTCTCCCCATTGAACCTAAAAAAATGAACGATGATTAGTTGGTCTGACGAAAATTCAACAATAGAGTGCCTATTTTTTTACAATGATTATTTCTTGTTATTTACAATAAATTTATTAAAAAAATAATAAAATAAATACAAAAAACCTTTGTAAAATTACATCTCCTCGGAGGATTAAACGCAGACGCTAGTTTATTATCGTATTGTTCTGTATTTTTCTCAGCAACTTCTTTAATTCGATTAGGTACTTACGCATATTATGTTAAAAATAAATATCTAGTACACATCTTAGGCTATCCACCATTATTATCCAATGACGACTCTCAGCTAACTATGCACTATCATCCAAAATAAACGTGTATGGAAAATTTTATCCCAGTCGGTTGAGGATTGAGGATAATTGCATCAACATACGAACATACCTACATACTTTTATTTACATAACGCAAGCTAAATAAAAGCTTGTAATACATCTAATTTTAAGTTAAAATTGTTAAGTGATCATGATATAATTGTATCATTCAAAAATCCACTTACCTTTAATTATTTCTTGTTAAGTATAAATATTATTTCAAATCTGCTCCCTTAATATGCACTTTTTTACTGCTTTTCCTACCTAACACGTTACCAGGAAGTCACGTTACCAGAGTCAGAGTAATAGTGAACACGTTTGACAGTGATTGTCGTCGCCTCATATTCAGCGTCGACGAATAGGGGAATCCCCAGTCATAATGTATTGCATGCGTGGCGGTCTTACTTCAAATCCATAAACAAAGAGATAATTACAGAACTCGATACTAGATGGCGCTGTTTTTGTTTGAAGAAAGTTTGCGGGCTAAAATACATAGAATTTCATCAATGACTTCCACAAAGAACAACATTTCTGTTTTTTCTAAGTCCGTATCTCTTCCGTATATTTCATAAGATATAAGCTTGGGCTACATTGTTGTGCAACGTGATTTTGTCGCTGTCTTGCTAGCAGGGTTGACAGATATACGATTTAAATCGTACTCATACTATTATTTGTCTATTTTTTAATGTACGATCGTAAAGATTATGATCGTAATTCGCACAAAAACATACGACTTTTTGGTTACCTGGCAACATTTTTATTATGAAACGAACATGCTCACATCATCAGTCACATGCAACAATTTATTGGGGTTTTCCCCTTCACATCTGGCAGTCCTGCTTGCTAGAATATAGGTAAGTCAGCCACAGTTACTGACGATCGATATTTAAAGGGTATTGTTTTTGTGCTAAATATTTCATAAAAACGTTATTTAATACTTTGTGGATTATTAATTTAGTTGATAATCACTGGAAGTAAAATGGATGCTAATTTGAGAGATCAAGATCTTCGTATAAAACAGTTAATAAAAGAAAATCTACGTAAGTACTCTTTTTATACCTAGGTAGGTAAGGTATAATAAACACAAAAGGTACTTAGATCGCGTGTGTTCGAAGCATTTATTCTAATAAATTTAATTTAAAATTGTAGAAAGAAAAAAATGTCTGCCAAGCCGTAGCCGAAGCCGATCTCCAAATATATTTGGCGATAGTGAGACCCAGTGTCCAGATGATTTACCCAGCGTCGTCGCAACAAAGAAAAAAAACGAGTATAAAGTAAAAGAAAATTTACTGAAAGAAGAAACAAACTGTTCTAAATGCTTAATTTATGGAGAAGAGGATAAAAGAAATGAGTATTTCGGACTGTTAGTGGCTCAAGAATTTAAATATATACGGCCATGTGTGCGAACGAGGTGTTATGAAGAAATTTTAAAGTATCTACGGGAAGCAAAAGGCCAACATGTTGATCAACTGCAACATGAAAACACTGAAAATTAATTACTTTCATTTTATTATATATAGATTTTTAAAATTTCCTGAAATATTATTAGTTAACGTTTTATTTAATATTGTAGAATTGATCAATACAATTTATAAAAATAATTTATTGGTATTACTTACATATTTTCAAAAAAATACGTAAAAACCTATTTTTTTGGGTGATTATGGGAGTTTATGGGTGTTTATTGGGTTTTTACCAAAGCACCGGGTTTAAACCCGGTGCTTTGCCCATCTGTAGTTGTCAGAGATGAGTGATGCTGTATCTAAATTATATTATATTTGCATTTTGAGGTAATAAACAATAAAAATATATTTATTTATATTGCAATGTTCTTTATAAGTTATTTTAAACACGTTCCTTTCATAACTAAAGAATAGTATATTCTGGTAACCCTAATTACGTACGCTTTGACGCGACATGTTATTGTAGAATAAAATTAAAACAATCAAATTTTAAAATGTATTCCCAACTGATTTAAAAAGGATTAGATTTCCTATTCAAATATTTTTTTGTGTATGTTACGTGACATCTTCGGCAATTATCAACCGATTTTTTTATTCTTTATAATATAATAATTATGTTATTTTTAATCTATGTGTTATGTTTAATAACAAGTAGATGGCGCTAAATATACATTTATGTTGCCAATCCCAAACTACTGATACTGCGCATTGACAGTCAATATTCTTAGGCATTAAATCTTTTGTATTAGATATCTATAAAACAGAGTTGTACTACCACTCGTATAAGGTTATCGCCCTCTGGTGTCCAGAGTTTCTAGGCTGTCTCTGTTGTAATTTAGCTGACGTTAATTTTACAGGAATGACTACATTATTACAGGATTACAGGAAAAATTAATAAATAGATATGAAGTAGGTACTATTGAAATAGATATGAGTACTAAGAGGTAGTACACATTTGTGATACACAAATACGTTACTATATAATAATATATATATTGTTTATTGCATTAAAACATACAGTAACAACAATAAGTTAATAACAATGTTAGCAAAGGCGAACTTATCTCTAAAAGAGATCTCTTCCAGTCAACCTAACACAGTGGCATAGGAAGTACTGAGTGGGCAGTAGTAGTGCTAAACAGAAGTTAAAATAAATATTTACATAAATAAGAATATATATACACATACACACACATCTATAGACACATACATACATATGTTAAATATATATACTATATTATATATACTATATTATGTTAGTATTAATATATACTAACATTCATACCTATCTCAATACCATGTTTTTAGACAAATATACAAATTTTTAATAAGAAAACATTGGGATCTATTCTGCAGCACATTTTTTCTAAGTATACCTCTTAATTTCTTTCCAGATATCAAACTTAATGGTATAGCGCTGAAGAGGGTGTATAAATTTAAATATTTAGGACATCAATTGGCCTCGGATCTCAAAGATGATGATGACATTGAACGGGAGCGGAGGGCGCTGGCGGTGAGGGCGAATATGATAGCACGCAGGTTTGCGCGGTGCTCTGGACAAGTTAAAATTACGTTATTTAGATCACATTGCACATCTTTCTATGCATGCAACCTGTGGGCTGTATATACTCCAAAATCCTACAGCGACCTCCGTATCCAATATTCACGCGTTCAGGGTGTTGATGGGGCTGCCACGATTCTGCAGCGCGTCAGGGATGTTCGCCGAGCATCGTGTAGATTGTTTTTATGCCACGATGCGGAAAAGGTGTGCATCTGGTGCGCAGAGTATGTGCCAGCGCCAACAGCATCCTGAATATGATAGCAAGCAGGCTGCACTGTGTGTACGTTGGTCACTGCTGCGCAATTTCCAATGGAATTGTGCAGCGGTGATTATCTGTATACTATTTAATATATTATGTGTGTGTGTACGTGTATTGTGTATGTAAATTTACTAACATTAGTTTTAAGAATATTGTTACTAATAAATATTTAATGGACCAAAAAAGTCCGAAATAAATATAATTATTATTATTAATTTCATATTTTCATTCTACAATTTCGCAAAATTACTGTTTTATGGACCATCATAAACAAATTTATAATAATTTTGAGCTATTATATAATATCTATTTTTTTTTAATGGCTGATAATGGAATGGTAGCCCCACCCGCGCTATCGGTATACACCGGCGGGGCACCAGTGAAGGATGATAGATGAGTATGAAGCAGGTCAGTTAGCCCATCGTGACGAATTCAACAAGAATTGTTCACGATGGTTTCCAGGGGGAACCACGTGGTGGTCGATCTAATAAGGCATATTGCTAGCAATGGGGCTGTCAAACTATATGCATATAGCAATGGGCTAACAATCCCTTTCCCCCCCTATATATATCTATTAGAAAAATGGTTCATATAGATCTTTACAATAAAGATTCCGCTGTAATGTGATGAAGATTTGAATCAATAATACATACCAATTGGTGGAAAAGGGGTTGTTAGCAATGGAGTTTGACAACCCCATTGCTAGCAATATGCCCTATTAGGTCGACCTCCACGTGGTTCCCCCTGGAAATCATCGTGAACAATTACTGTTGAATTCGTCACGATGGGCTAACTGACCTGTTTCATCCTCACTTATCATCCTTCACTGGTGCCCCGCCTGTGTATACCGATAGCGCGGGTGGGGTTACCATTCCATTATCACCCATTAAAAAAAATACATACCAATTAGATGCCTGATAGGATTATATCTGCAATTTTTAAAATCTACGTAATCGGTAACATACATGACATATGTATATGTGGGAAATATTATTAAAAGGCGTTTTCTGTCTAACGAGAAGCACTCATTAGACGACCTTTCGGTCGACCTCCATGTGGGCTCCCCTGGAAACCATCATGCTGGATTCTAGGTCTATACATCATTATGGGCTATTTGACCTGCCTTTTCATCCTCACCTATTATCCCTCACTGGTGGGTACCAGCAAGGGATATACCGGCGTATGCTCTCTGTTGTCATTACTTTTCTATTTTTTTTTGATGGGTGAAAATGGAATGTCGTCCAATAAAAAAAAAATGATATGGTAATTCCACTTACGCTATCGGTAGGTATACGCTGGCGAGGCACCAATGAGTGATAGGTGAGCATGAAACCGAGTCAGTTAGCCTATTGTGATGGAGTCAATGAAAATTAATAATGGAGGGAAAGGGATTGCTAGTAATGGAGACTGAGAATCCTATTGCTAGCAATATAACCAACCAGGTCGACCTCCTCGCGGTTCTCTCTGGAAACTATCATGGTTAATTCCTGATGAATTAATCATGATAGGCTAACTGGGCTGTTTTCATTGTCATCTATCACCCTTCACTGGTGCTCCGCCAGCGTATCCCGTTAGCGCAGGCGGGGTTACAATACCATTTTCACCCATCAAAAAAAAAAAATAAGAATTAATCACGGTGGTTTCCAGGGGAAACCACGTGGAGATCGATATGGCAGGGTATATTGCTAGCAATGGGGAAGCTAGATTCCATTATAATCAATTCCTCTTAGCGTTTACAATCATGTTGATTTCTACGCGGTCCTCCTGGTAACTGGTTGAGTTCCGATAAATTATACGTTAGTTTATCGAATCATAGCCATGTTAACTCAACTGCTTCACAGCAGAATCAGGAATGTAACTTAGGTATACTGTTTGTGTGTGTATTTTATTTTTTAATTAATTAATTAAAATTTAATAATTGCAATACCGCACTGTAAAAGAGCGTCGTCTGCTAATTCGGCGCATGCGCTGCAAATTAAGAGATATCTAACTGTATGCTAAGCAGAAATAAGTGAGTGCGCAAGTAAGTAAGCACTTGACTGCCCGTAATGATTCATCGTTCTTTTTTTTTTTTTTTTTATACAACTTAGAATGGCAAACAAGCTGACGGTCCACCTGATGGAGTCCACCTGAAGCAGTTGTATTTGCATGGCTGTGTTTCGGTTTGAAGGGTGGGATATGGAAGTGAATTTACAGGGTACAGAGGAATAACACCTGAGTCCTCAGGAATGGCAACGCATGGGAGGTATCATGGGCGAAACAGTATACTCTGTTATGTCCATGGTACTGCTCATGTCTATAGACGACGGTTACCACTTTCCATCAGGTGGGCCGTCAGCTTGTTTACCATTCTAAGTTGTATAAAAAAAAAATATTTTGTAATTCATGTCTGATAGAATTAAATATCGTTTTTATGTTCGATCCGTTCTTATTTTTTTGTAAAACATGACCGATAAATAGCCCAAAATGTGATGGATATGACGGTATCTATTGTCATTACAATACACGCCGACATTAACAGCTGATTTCTCTCAGCTGACGCAGTAGAATAGTCAACGGTTAAACGACGTATTCTCGTTTATTTATTTCTTTTTAATTGAATCATAGACATTTGTACATCTCCAACACTACGCATGCACTATAAAACTACGTCGTTCTTAATCAATAAAGGCATATCGCTTCCATTTGTTTGTAACAAAGCGATACGAACAGAATGTTTATGAATCACCTACTGTGAAAACATAGGTACGTATGCGAGGCACTGTCGTATCGAAAATATTATTATTCTGTGGCAACGTTGAAGCCGGCCGCGAACGCCCCGCGCTCTGCCGCCACCCCCATAGCAGCCCGGCCCTCCGTTCTGTCCTCTCGCCTGCTTGCCGGCCGACTTCGCTCAGACCGCACGTTCACTTCAGTCGCGTTTTGAGAGTGATAGGTCGTGTACGTTTTATCGTATATCCCCTTCCTGCATTTTATAACTTGGTAAGCAATTATTTTACCCTTCATTTACTAGTTTATAAAAATTATAGCGCGAGTATGTAACTGTAGGTTGGGATCAGACGTAGTTATCGAACGGTTTGTGCCATCGCTCCCACAGGAATCGTCGATCGAAGGCATGCTGCACTTGCGGCCGGCGGGGACCAGGGGTGGGCTCGCCGGTTACATTTCCTCGTCAAATAGTATATTTGTACATACGCAGAATTCCAAATGGAGATCGCGATTTAACGGAACTCGCCGGTCGTTATTGGGAGCGGTGGCATGACTTCACGCCGCCACTTCGCCTGCATCTGCCGGCGTATTCATTGTTTGATTTAACATGTAGGTAATTAGGTGTGTTTACGAAATGCATTATAAAGCTGATCCCATCCATTTCAAGTATTTATAATTTTATTTTCTCAATTGGAAGGTCTAAATTGTTTGCCGTTTTTCGATCTATGTTTTTTTTTTTTTGCTTTGGGAATAATGTTTAATTTCACTGGTAGGTAGGTAGAACACACAAAAGATGCGAACGGTATCGATTTTTCGTACATATATGAGTGATAAATTTAAAGTGCGTTATTTTAGTATATTTTCAAAATTGATATATAAATCTATTTATGGATATTAAATAACGCAATTATACTTGTTTTATGATTGTTTACAATTAGATACGGATAGAACTAGATTTCTATATACAATATCTATTAAATTAATAACTGCCTACATTATGTGGGTATTGTGTAGATGTTTAACGGACTTGAAGCCAAGTATTTTTTTTTTAATTGAGTTTTTGTTGTAATATTTGTTATTAATACCTACCTACTTACTTTTACCAATGCGAAAATTTGTGTGATTTTTTTTTTATTTAAATATTACAGCTATTTCTATGAATTTAATATAGAGTACAATGATGTGGCATCTATAGGGTACCTACTTGTATTAAATTAAATTACTAATACAATGGATTTTAATTTAAAATCACTCGGTTTTATTCTGATGTTCCAGAGCGATTGTCTCTGTAAATATGAGATCATATTGTTTAAAAAAATCGAGTTTATTTTTCATAATTATAATATTTCTTTAAATTTACAATTTTAAAATTGACAAGCGTAATCTACATATGTATATATATGATCTAAGATGTGATCATACAATTAAAACCTAATTTTATTGCCTATTATGCGGTATATTGACATATTAAGCTAATTAAAAAAAACGGTCATAGAATAATACCGTACGTCCTGTGCTGCATTTTGTGATTAAAAAATAAAAAAAAAAAACAAAAAATTAAAAATATTTATCTCGTGTGTCAGAATAAAATGTACACAGTGAAAGATGTCACTTCAAAATGTTGGCAATGTAATTCGTGTGTAGCATAGGGCGAGTTTGATTCGAGGGGAGATATTGAAATTTTACGATGACTCAGACAAACAAAGCTCTAATTGTTATAATATTTTAGATGTGGCTTTGCCACTGTTAAACAGAATTATTTAAGATAAGTATATTGTTGCCTGCAAAAAAAACCGATTGCTTCAATTGTTTTAAAACATAAGTATATCCTTTCAGATAAAAAAAGAATTTTTTAAAATCGGTTTACAACTGACGGAGTTATGAGGTAATGAACGTAAAAAAAATACAACCTCTTTCTTTCGAAAGTCTGTTGATAAAATGGGATTTATTTAAAAAGCCATCAATCAGCAATGCAACGTTTACATTGTGGAATTTACAAAATTTTCGTGAAACACTATTAAAAAAAAAAACGTATAAACCGTTTGGCTATGGTTCGTTTATCGTCACGCGATATATTATGTTAATAAATACAATTAGGTGCTGTGTTGCTTGCGCTCGTGTTTCAATGTCGTTCAACTTGAGAAATGAGATGAGCTCCTCAAACAAAATCTCCACGTTCATAACGTTATGATTGTAACTGTAGACGCTGGCGGTCCAATTTATTACTTTCGGCAAAAAAAGAAAATCACCTCTTTGCCAATAACCTTCTGAATTCTTAAAGGACTTCGTTCCTATATTAACAAGCGAGAGGTTCACTCGAGAGACTATAAATAGACGTCTGACTAACACACATGGGTGACACAGCCAATAACTGTTCGTTTTTTTTTTTTTTTTTGAATAATAAACACTTGAGCATTGGGGGCGTAAGTTTAAAATTAAGCTCGGATTTAGAAAGAAGAAAGAAAGGAAGAAATATTTATGCAGTGCTTAATTTCACATTAAAAATAGATAATAAAAAAAAAAACATTTAAATTTTTTAAATGCATTTAAGAGGTTATTGTAATATTTTTTTAATTACGTTTCGTTTTAATAATAACCTAACGGGTGATAAAATTGTAGAATTGTTGTTATAATTGTATTTAAAACTAGCTTTCGCCCGCAGCTTCGCTCGCGTGTGGCATTCGATTCGTCGCAAACTTTGTTTTGAATTATGAGTCTAAATCCAAAATTTTACGTGTCTAACTTCTGAATTGGTGATTTGTTTTAATTTTAAATTTTATTTTTAACCTCAATGCAAACTGTACATGGTGTCCGAGTTGGGGGCCTGGATTCCTGAGATACAGATCTCTGATCTAGTTTGGGGTCCAGTCTCCCACAAGTTTTACAGACCATTTTAATTGTACATATATTGTTGTATTTTTTTTTTCATATAACTGTATTTTTCTGTAAAATTTGTGGAGAAAATAAATAAATTGATGATTCCATACAAACTTTCAACCCTCGTTTTTAATCTTTTAGGGGTTGAATTAACAAAATTCCTTTCTTATTGTTCACCTACGCTATACATATAAAGAATCTATCTGCAAAATTTCAAGATTTTAGATGCAGCGTGTTGATCTGTGGATCAGTTAGTCAGTCAGTCAGTCGGACAGTCATTCAACATTCTCTTTTATATAGATAGATTTTTTTTTATGTGGTAAAATGGTATGGTAACCCCGCCTGCACTAACGGAATACGCTGGCGGAGCACCAGTGAAGGGTGATAGATGAGAATGAAAACAGGCCAGTTAGCCCATCATGATGAATTCATCAGGAATTAACCATGATAGTTTCCAGGGGGAACCGCGAGGACGTCGACTAGGTGTGGGTATATTGCTAGCAATGGGATTTTCAGTCTCCATTACTAACAATCCCTTCCCCCCCCCCAGATAGAATGAATTTGAGTTATTATAAAATTATAAAGTAAGTTTTAAAAGGAGGAAATATTTTTGTATTATTTAAAATTTTAACTATTAAACAAGGATTACTCTATAGTTAATAGATATGTTGTTGGTAGTGTTAATAATAAACATACAGACTTGAGTTCGAAATATGTATATACATATAAAATACAACCTTTATGTCTTGTAAATTATAATTCTTAATTTACTACTCAAAAGAAATATGTACTATGATATGATTACTAACCATAGACTATCTTATTTATTTTTTTATTTATTTTATTTATTTATTCATTAGTACAAATATGTGTACATGGCGGACTTAATGCTAAAAGCATTCTCTCCCAGTCAACCATAGGGAAGTGTCAGAACACTTGAATGCGGTACTACTAATTATTGATATACATACATACTAAAATTACATATATAAACGAATAAATATATATAAATAACAAATATACTTACACATATATGATGTATACTATATTATACACGAATTTCGGAATAATATAAAGCACTTACTGCTCGGATAAAGATAAAAAGTGAGCGTGAACGCTTTTTTTGAAAGACGGTTTAGTCGATAGTTTCTTAATGGCATCAGGAAGCGCGTTCCAGACTGGTGAAGAATGTAGGAGAAAAGAGTATGAAGCGTAACCAGTACGGTGAGAGGGGAAAGATAATTGGAGAGTATTATTGGAACGAAGGTTACGTTTATACTTTTGTATAAAACTTATAGCATTCGTCCTGAGGTTCTGCAATCTGAGCTAGGTCGGAACCTGTACTATTACAGATCTCCTGGCTCTCTCCGAGATGTCTATTAATGTTTGCATACATTTACTGTTAAACGTGAACTCATGTGACGCCGTGTACACGCATAATCTTCTAAAGAATTACAGAAGAGTTACACACAAACCGGTTCATCCGAGTCGTCTACTTTCGCCACTTTCGCGACCGATTGTGACGGCCATTATACATGAAATCTATAATTAATCACGTAGGTTTACACTTCAATCAGTCATACAATTGTATGTGTACAATAAAATTCTATTCATACTTATATTAATTTAATTTGATTTTTTTTTTTATAATTCAAAGTCAGATTAGGCTGTATGTGCTTTGTTCTTTTGCCTATGCTTTCACAGAAAGGATAAATAAGAGTTTAATATTACAACGACAAGTACGTAGTAGTATATTACAATAGCTTACCTACCATTATGCATAAATAACAATAATCAACTGGTTTTCCTTGTTTAAATTAAACTTTGCTATTTAAATTACAGTAATTCTATCCAGAAAATATTACAAATTGATTATACATTTTTTTTTTGTTTTGTAAGGGCAATTGGTTGCCAGTAAAGCTAGAAAAAAAGAATTCTTTCTATATTATTAATTTTATATTTAGTAAAGGTTTACTTTAATCAGAATCTCTGCAAAAATATTATTTACAGTTTATTGTTCCAATTAATTTATTATAATAATAATAAAGGATAAAGTGATTTAATTTTTAGGCATATTCACACATGAATATGGGTGTACACGACTACACACCACTATGATGTCTACATAAAGGGCACAATGAAATCTGCTAGACAGGCAGTGACAGTGTTTGTGTGTTGGAGAGAGACAGTACAAGCCCAGACGTATTTGGAAGAAAGAGATATAATATACTTCCCAAATACTGCAATCGATTGCCCGGAGACCAAACGACGCACCCCTAATACCTAACCGTTAGGGCTACCTAAAGGTTTCAAAAGCAAATTGCACTAACAGCCAGCGAACGTGAAGATCAAAGTTGGTTAATTACTTGCGAAGGAATTAGGAGTTGCCAATAGTA